CAGCATAAAAGGGACCCAGAATGTGGTTGCTGACACCTTGTCTCGAAGGCCAAATGACTAATGGGTGGATAAAATTTTGTAGTATTGTATTAACTGTTCTGTTGTGAAATACGCTTAAAGTGCAGAGTTTGCTTGGATGTTGATGAAATGAGAAGTGTATAGTGATGGTAAAAATAATGGTGAGTATCCTTATTAATGTAAATGCAATGTAATGTAATTAGTATTAATGTAAGTAATGTATCCTTATAGATGCAAGTAATACAAGAGGTTAATATGTCTTTATTGATGTAAGAGTAATGTAATGTATCCTTAGGGATGTAAATAATGTAGGAGTTTAGTGTTTAGATTCTTCCCTAAAACTTTCTTTGTTTATGTTTGTTTATCAACCATTCAGTTTCCCCTCCTAAAACAAACCTATTAAGGGGGGAGGAATGTGGCGTCTGCCCAGGTTATGAATATTCATATGCTATCTGCATAGACCAATGGGAGTGCTGGAGGGGCCACAAGATATAAGCTCTTTGTTTGGTGAAACAAGCAAGGGGCCACGTGGAATCATGACAGTGCTCTTGAAGGATCTCTATCAGGAGCCCCACCAATATGGCTTCTTACAATGTTTAAGCAATGTATTTAAGGAAGCGGTGTTTGTGAGAAACAACCCAAAATTTGTGATCAGGCAACATCCTTATTAGTATTACCACAAATGCACAAAACCGAAGGCTAGTATTTGAGATCCCCAGAAACCTTCAATAGACAAAATATTGGGAAGAGTGCAAGGGGTGGCAGAAGAGGAGATAAGAAAAAGGCAGTCAGTGTTGAAGTGAGATTAATCCCATCTGGTCTAAGCCTGAAGATATAGTGGATGGAAAGGCATAGAGTTGAATCAATAAGATGTGTTAAGTGTCTCCTTGTTGTACTTTGGAACACCTCACTTGATAAAGGGTCTGCATCTTGCCCACTCTTTTGTGTACTTTGTTTTGTCTGAATAGAGACATTGTCTGATGGGTCAAGAACTTACCTCACTTGATAAAGGGTCTGCATCTTGCTCACTCTTTTGTGTACTTTGTCTGAATAGAGACATTGTGTGATGGGTCAAGAACTAGTCTCTTCATATTAACCTACTGTTGCATCTGACACACATAATGTGCAAGAGGTGGATTCTTGAATTAATTCTGTTAGTATTTTGTACAGCTTGCTAGGAGCAGCATGGATGTTGATGAAATTGAATTAGGATAATGACTGGAAGAAAATTAGGTTTACGTTATGTAAAATTAAGAAGGAAGCAAGTCGGAACCCTCAAGAGATTTAGATACTATTCATTTCCCCTGCCCTCACTTTCTTTTCAATTCCTTGTTAATACAACAGGTCAAATATTACTGGATATGAAAGGATTCCTATATCTGACTGAAACCCAGCAACATGATTTACACTGTATAAGGCTGATGAAGTCATCAGATGTGGTGGTTCTTCAGACATAAAAAAATTCTGATTCCCACCCTCCAAAGATCACGAGACTCCCTTGAGATCCATTTCCTCCTGCAGAAGTCTTTGGGGATGTGGGTTAAGGAAATATTTTCAGTTTTCCAAAATTGCTGTTTCTAGTAAATTCATTGTGGTGGTGGCAATTTTCAGAAATTAGAATCCCCCATCCTTCAACCCCAATGGTTTCCATATGATGAAAGGGATCCCATGGGAGGCTTAGGACCATTGGATGTGGAATCAGAAATGTTAAATTTCCAAAGATTTGCTGCAGCTGATTACATCATCAGTCTTATGTTGTGTATTTGTGAATTTCAGGATTTCAGCCACTGTGTAGTATTCAGGAAATGCAGGTATTCAGCAAATGAGAGTCCTAGATACACTTGCTCCAACCTTTCAGATTTTTTCAGCTATTTATAGAATTAAAATTCTTTCTCATTGCCTTTTTCAGCACTGTTTTTCAAAATCATTTATGTTTGACGTTACCACAGGGACTCAGCAGTTTCCAACAATAAAACACCGCATAATAGCTCTATCAGCCACATTGAATCTGTCCTCCAGCAACTTGATGAAGCCCAGGTACAGATGGAAGAGCTTTTCCATGAGAGGAAAATTAAGCTAGACATCTTTCTTCAGCTCCGGATTTTTGAACAATATACAATCGAGGTAAGAGTTGCATTGGACATCCTGGCCAGTATCCTGTTCCATAGCTCTACCAGTGCCTTGAGGGTGAGTCAGTGCAGCAAATTTTCACTAATTAAACAATTTCTGATATGATTTTAGGTTACACTAAGTGAAACAAAGTCAAGTACAACCCAACATTGCAGCTGGAACTCTTTAATAAACAGCTGTCTGCCACTGTGAATAACTTCACTCCCGTTATATTGGAAGACCTATGGAACAGGATACTAGATCCTCAACTGGAGGTGACTTCGGGAGGAATGAGGAAAATTAGAAAATGTTTATAGAGAATATAGGAAATGAGGATGATCTGATAGAATCTATGTTTAAGAGTAAAAAGGCATCCATAAATAACAAACTGTAAAAATACATTTGCTATGGGTAAAATATATATTGATGTTAAATAAGAAGCTTGGATTTAATGAGTTGCTGGAGGGAAGGATTGATAATTTGTATTAAAGCATTAATGAATGCCCACCCCTACAAAATCAAGTAGCCTTTATGGTAATATTTGCCTTCAGTTCAGAGCCTTCTGATGCGTGTATTAATTGCATAATGTTCAGTGTGGTTGAACAAAGTTTGGGGTCTTTCTCTGTTAAAAATAATTTTGGCCTGTATACAGTAGCTGCTTGCACAACGGCAATTTGTATCTGCTTCAGAAAACCCATGAATGGGGGGTGGGAAATGGGAAAGGTCCTGCATTTCATAAGCTACTGAGAAAATAATAGTGAGGGAAGTATTTTGAATGTGCACCACAAGTGAAAAACAAATTTACATTTTAAATTGCAAATTATTCATTAATGCCCTCAGTCTTGTCCATCACATCATGCTTAGGGGAGGAATGATTAAAAGCTGACAATCCTTTGCCTAATGAGCTTGGGAGAGGTATTCCATCAAGATGTTGATTAGAGTTTACAGCTTCTGTTTTGAAACTCACTTTCAACATGAAACTCACTAGCCATTATTCTGAGAGGTTTTATGAATTTTCTCCCTGCACCATCCAGAGCCCTGCACTGCCCAGTCTGATGAAGACCTGCATGGGGTCAAAAGCTAGCTTCTATTTGTGATTTTTTTGGTAGTTGACTAATAAAGGTATCACCTACCCTTGCCTTCTTGAACTAACATGTCTTCTAAACATTCCTTTCAAGCACCCACTAACGGAGTTCAGAATTCCATGTAGTTTAGTCTTAGTCTGTGTTCTTTACTATAAAATTAGACTTGTTTATTCATTGTAATATTAAATGAAGGATCTCTTTTCAAATAATAAAGAAGAAGAAAAATGCCTCTCATCTGATTCTCAGCGATGCTGCTGTTTTGAGTCATAAATTACAGGCAAATGTGTGTTAATAAAGCCTAGCACTTTGTGAGCATTTTCCTTTCATACATTCATACTGTAAATACCAGTGGTTCCTGAACAAGAACATGTCATAGTACTTCAATAAACTCACAGTTCTTAAATTACTAAATAAGTATTTGTAACCTCATACAGTATTTTAGAATTTTAGGATAAGAATAAAAAAATAATAATGGTGAATCGGATCATAACAACCAGTGTAATATAGTGGATGGGGTATTGGAGTAAGACTCATGAGATATGGATTCAAATCCATGTTTGCCCATGGAGACTCACTCGGATGTGACAATGATAAACTGTTACTTGAACATCTCAGACCTCAAAAACCTTATTAGGGGTATCATAATTCAGAAGCAACATGATGGCACGTAACATCATAACAACCAGTGTAATATAGTGGATGAGTTATTGGAGTAAGACTCAGAAAGAAAAAGAAAGAAAGAAAGAAAGAAAGAAAGAAAGAAAGAAAGAAAGAAAGAAAGAAAGAAAGAAAGAAAGAAAGAAAGAAAGAAAGAAAGAAAGAAAGAAAGAAAGAAAGAAGTTTCCAAACTTAGGACATTAGCTAGTTTATGCAGTGTATGAACTGGAAAAATTTGCAGCAGGTCATGACAGCAAAAGGGTGCTCCACTAGGTACGAAAGATGCTTGCCATGAAGAGGTTGAATAATTCTGAGACTGCAGAATTGATTAAAAGTTGCATTTTCAGTTAAATTTGGGGTAAGCACTTGAAACATTCATTGCATTAAGCTATTCCAATTGCTTTTGTTTGGTTTGACCATTGCAAACAGCTGAAAGTCTGTAGATTTTGACAATAAACCTGATTTGCAATGAGGGGTGAATAATTTTGATTACAATAAGCTATTTCAATTGCTTTTGTTTGGTTTGACCATTGCAAACAGCTGAAAGTCTGTAGATTTTAACAATGAGGGTTGAATAATTTTGATTACAACTGTAGGCTATAAAATATAGCATGAATATATTGTGACCCCTAAAGAAAATCTAAAGATTTTGAAAATATATTACATGCTGTCAGGTCAACCACAGTTTATGGTAACCATTTGTAGGATTTTCTAACTTTGGAATACTCAACAGTAGTTTACTCTTAACCTTCTGTTTTTCTGGAGGCACCCATGGACTCTACAGCTTGCTCAAGGCTGTGCAGGCCATGTCTTCTCCCATAAGGCACAGTGGGGAAACTTTGGCTCTGCAGAGAGTTATCCAACTCACCAAGCTATCCAGACATGTCATACATAGAACAGTTTAAAACTTTGACAGAGTTACTAATGTCACCTTAACACTGGAAGAAAGATGTGTACACTCCCTGCAGAGGTAAGACCAGACATACCTCTTTCAGGCGGGCATTCTGAAACCTTGATAACACAGCACAGAAAGCTCTATCACTTATGCCCACCTACAAAAGAGCTGATAGTGAAATGATACAGAACAGAACTCTAAGAGGAGTTTCCTCGGCATACAGAAGAACAAACATGGATGAAAGCAAAATTCCAATACGTCATCCAAAGCAATGCTGTATTAAATGCTGATCAAGATAGAAAAACCTGAGAGATAAAGGAAAGAAATAAAAAATAGGTATGAAATAAGAGAAGTTTATACTTTATAAGAAGATTAGTATTTTCAGATGATACAGTCTGATGATATTAATAAATACTATTGGTGGGGCAGAATAGTATATGGAATAAAGATTGGTGTGCGTGTGTGTGTGTGTAAGATTGGTGTGTGTGTGTGTGTGTTTAAAATCCGAGTAGGTTTATCCTAGGAATTACTCATCTGGGAGCCTATGGGCATCACAGCCAGCAGCTAGAAACCTGAGGGAGAATAACTACTCTTGCTTGTTGCAGAAATGTTCCCCCTGAGACTCAGCATGAATTTTAGAGCAGCTGTTCTTCCTATAATTAATATAATCCACCATTTGTTTAGGGAAGCTTTTAAAAATCCCTCATTTTCCGTTGCCCTTAAATAACTACTTGATTGCAAGCTTAACAGATTTTGAGTGGGCACAAGGGTGCTATGTTTCATGTTGCCTGTACAGAACTTAGCATTCCGGATGTATATCTACACTCTGGCTTGTTTCTGGATAAGAGACAGGGTTGGGTGAGGGATTGATAGGGCGGATTTTTCAATATTAGAACTCTCAAAGACAACCTCAGGTAAAACTTTATATTTGACTCCTGCTCTTCAAACTACTTATCTAATGTAGTGGGATAGAAGATCTGTACATCTCCAAGCTCTTTCTGCAATCCTCTCCTTCCAAAACCTCTTTTCTCTTTCCTTGAAGATGAGTAGTTCTGGTGGAAAGCTTTAATTTTTAGTATTTTTGAAGACCCCAGTACTTCTGCCATTTGTGCTTGCTTTTTGCTTTATTTTCCATGGTGCTTCCCTGTTTTTCCCAGCTGAAGAGCAGTGCCCAAGGAATTGTATATAAATACATTGCCCAGCTTTTTTGCCTTGAACATACTTTTTGTACATATACAACTTAGTGAGAACTAGGCATCCTACATTTCACCATACCTTTTCTATTGACAACCTTGCTAATACTCTTTAGATGTGTGTGTAGGGCTTGTAATGCTTTCCCCTCTAAATACAGCCCTGTTCATTTTTTGTACCTGTCTTGTGACCCTGCTTTCTCATAGTTCCTCTACATACTGTACTTCTCATCTGTGAGTACTATATTTTCTTTTATGTCCTTTCTCTCCACACTGAGTGCCAGAAGATACACACATTTTTTGCAACAACAAAAATATTGCCGTTTTTTCAAAAACTTTGAAGACATCCCACCAAGGATGGAGCGAGACTATTTTTAAGTCTCTCAAGGCTTGAGTGAGGGGTGGGAAAGCCCAGGGTACTTAAAGGGCTTTCCCCCCTCGCACCATCCTCTTCTTTTTCAGGTACCCACCCGCCCTCCCTTTTTCTACTGTGAGTTTTTCTGGTTGCCTTTTAGGGGCCGGATAGGAATTTTTGACCTTTATCCTGATTGGCCTTTGGATGGCAGGATTTTTTACCTATCCCACACTGGAAGAGGGTTGTTGGCAAATTGGTGGATAATTTTTGGTCACATTGGCAAGTAGTGCGGAAAGAACAGGTATTTTCGATGTGTCCCAATGGTAATCTCAGGTAAGCCAACAGCGCATTCGACCTCCCGGCACTGCGGACCGTGTGATTATAGTGCTTGTGGGGGGAAGATGCGCTGGGCCACTTCTGGACCAACAGTCGTCGAATAAATATGGCTTGAGGTCTGGGGGTGTTTATTAGTGGCTGTCCGGGTTCCTGCTGTCTGGAGACCGATGGAAGTTGGGGCCGGGGACTCGCCCATTTCTGGATCAAGGAGTATTTGGATACCCCTGCCTTTCACCTGTTTCCGCACTACAACAGACCCCCTCTTTTGCCAAAGGATGGCAAGTTTTGTATTTGATATTATCAAAGTGTGGTCCATATCTAACCCATATCATTGTCTCGCGTCTTTATTCCGGGGTTGGGATGGCAAAGTGTCAGGAAACTTCAGCTGTTCCAAAAAAGTAGCAGCCAGATTGCTAACTGGAGCTGAATATAGGGATCATACACCCTCCTGTTACAGCAGCTCCACTGGCTAGTGATCTATTTCTAGGCTGGCCTCATCTTTACTGTCCTTCCACAAGAAGAGATCTTTCTCTTCAGGTAAGCTTTCCCTTAGTGAATGACTATGGCATCTGTGAGAATCAAAATCAGAACTACCGGTGACACCCAAGGGGAGTCATTTAGAAATTACCATTTAGCCATTTAGAAATTACATTCTAGCTTCAATAACCTATATCATGACAGCATCAGGCTTGGAAGGAGAGGAGCTACCCCCAGCACATGACAAGCATGGGTGTGGAGAGGGTGGCTCCTCTCCTTGAGTGTGTAGAGGGGGGGAGGTATGTGAGGAGAATGTGTGCTGCTTATAAGAGGGAAACATAGAAAACGTGATGACGTGGATTAGGAGATCTGAGGACTGCGAAAACAGCATTGGGGTATTGCATGTCACACTTCGCTCATCCCTGCACTAGGTCTACCTTCTGCAGAATTCTGTGTGTCACTGCAGTCAAATCAGACCTCTCCAGGAAAGGGCACAGCTGGCACAATAGTTTTAACTGTGTAAATGCACTCCTGGCCATAGCCAAAACTAGGCATCCATACTCAGAGATGAATCCAAGAGTACCCTCAGGCTACACACATAGGTTTCCCTTAACAGGTTGCATCCCTGTACCATGATCTGCCTTTTGACTGACCAGGAGCACCTCTATCTTGTCTGGATTAAGTTTCATTTCATTCACCCTCAGCCAGTTCATTACTAACACTAGACATTGATCTGGAACGAAAACAGCTTCCTTGGATTTACATGGAGAGATAGAGTTGAGTGTCATCCATTTGATGGTGACCACAAACTCCAAGATTGCAGATGATCTCTCCCAGGGATTTCACGTAGATTTTAAATACTGTAACATGGGAGACAAAAGAGAACCCGGGGGAGGGGCTGAAGGCCAGCAGCCTGGGTGTGGAACAGGAGCCCCCCCCCCTTCTGAGTTCTCTCCTCCAGGAAGGACCTGAGCCACTGTAAAACAGTGGATTCATGTCCCATCCCAGAGATATGGGCCAGAAGGATACCATGATTGGTGGTATCAAAAGCTGCTGAGAGATCCAGAAGAACCAACAGGGACATACTTCCCTTGTCCTATTCCCAGTCTAGGTCATCCCACCAAAATGAGTAGTCTCCATTCCATAACTAAGCCTGAATCCAGATTGAAATGCATCTAGATAATCAGTCTCATCCAGGAATCCCTGGAGCTGAGAAGCCCCAACCTGCCCCAACACCTTGCCTAAGAACGGAATGAGAAACAGGTTAGTAATTACTCTAAGGGATCTATTGCAGGATTGTTTTTCAACAATAATCTTATTTTGCCTCCTTTAAGCTTGCTAAGATCCTACCCATGCAAGGCTCTTACTCTGTTCTAGTGCTTTTAACAAAACAGAAAATGAATAATCATAATGAAATCCCACGCTTCCTCATAGAGAAGCATTTTGTAATCACTGTATGATGTGTGAAAATGCCTAATTTGGAGGATTTCTTGGTTAACCACAACCTCCTGTCCAAAATGATCTTAAAACTGAAACCCTATGCAAGCATTTGCCTTCTGACATGGAGAACAAAACTACATATGAGGACATAGTCATGAGGGGCAACCTTGCACCCAAATGGCATTTCTTGCTCACCATCATTCCAGACTATTGTGCATTGAACACAAAAGTCTGAACAAGGTTGTTTGTTCAGTTGAACATTGTTACATATGTCCCATACCTGGGAACTGTACTCAGTGTATGAAGGTGCCAGGTGTATTTATTACTTACTTACTTACTTACTTACTTACTTACTTACTTACTTACTTACTTACTTACTTACTTACTTACTTACTTACTTACTTACTTATTTATTTGACTTATATGCCGCCCACTCTACCCAAAGGTCTCTGGGCGGCTTACAACAATTAAAATACAATACAAAGATAAAACAATTAAAATACAATTAAAATAGATACTCTAAAAATTGCCATCAGTACCCACAGTTGATATTATTTCAATTAAAAGCCTTCTGGAACAGGAAGGTTTTGACCTGGCGCCGAAATGTCATCAGCGTCGGCACCAGACGAATCTTAGTCGGGAGAGCATTCCATAGTCTGGTGGCAGCTGCCAAAAAGGCCCTTTGTCTACGAGCCGTCCCTCTTACCTCCTTAAGGGACGGCTCTTTCAAAAGGGTCCCCTGGCTAGATCTTAACTGCCGGGTAGGCTCATATGGAAGGAGGTATCCAGGGCTCAAAACAATTTTCATGGTAGGGCTTTCATATGTACCCACATCAATGGACCCAGTTTTCTGAAGAAGAGAAAGTGCAAATATTTGTATGGGGATTCTGATTCTATTGTAATAATAGATTAAGCTGAATGTTAATCCTAGCTAGAGTGGACCCTTTGAATCAATAGGATAAATGTTGAGTCAACAAAATTCATTTGTCCACTAGGTCTACATTAGTTGGGATAAACCACTGGATGTAGCCCAGTAGCTGCTTTCTTTGTTCAGAGCACTTAGAATAAAAATGTCTTCCTTCAGAACTCCACTGTAATGGTCAGTAAAATTTGCTGGGCAGTGAGTGAGAAGCTGTAATTACAGCAGAGGAGAAAGGAATTTTAGATACCTTTTCTCAATAAGCTAAATTTTTAATAACTTTGAATCTTTATTCTGCTTTTTTTTAATTTGGAAGGTGACAGCTGAGTTGGATGCCTGGAATGAAGACTTGCTAAGGCAAATGAATGATTTTAATACTGAAGACCTGACTCTGGCAGAGCAGCGCCTCCAGCGGCACACGGAGCGGAAGTTGGCTATGAACAACATGACTTTTGAGGTTATCCAACAAGGCCAAGATTTGCACCAATACATCATGGAAGTCCAAGCTTCAGGTAAATGGAACAGTGTTGATTGACAGATATTACATCACAAAAATGCAACAGGAGCATGGATCTTTGACAGGACAAAATTAAATCATTCAAACTTTGGTGTTCTGCTCTCCACTAGTGAGCTTTCCTAAGACAAGACAGAAATAGGTTCAAAACTTTTAGAGGTTCACAAAAACAAGTCATATCTAAATGCATGAAGAACACATCCAAGATAGGGAGCATAATATTTTTCGTCACACACTGGGTGATTAGCAGATAGTAAGATGGAAAAGGAGGCTATCATACTTTTAAAAATCTTACTTTCTGGTTCTATTCACCTGTTAGTATGCTGTCATACAAGAGAGAATCTCAAGGAGCTACAAAAACTAGAAGAAATTAAGTGGAATTCTTTCCTTTTAGTGCTGTCTACCAAAAAAAGTGAGGAGATATGTATGTGGACACACTAGCCTAATAGTGTGCCTTGACAGGGTATAGAGAAACACTAAACTGGAGGAGTGAGCAGTGGTAGTAATTAGAAGGTACCCTCTGCTTTTCTCTAGGGGTATGTCTGACCTCCTTTCACATGATTTCTGTAGGAGACTGGTTAACATCCCTGGTAGATAGTGGGAATAACGTAGACATAATATGTCTTGACGTCAGTACAGCTTTTAACAAAATGTCCAATGATATTCTGATTAGCAAACTAATAAGTGCAGAATTCTACACCCAGGAAAAAGAAACCAAATGCACAGTTACAAGATGATGGATACTTGGCTAAGTAATACTGCATGCGAAGAATCTTGGAATTGTGGACCAAAAGTTGAATATCAACCAACAGTGTGATATGGATGCAAAAAAAGGCAAATGCTATTTTTAGGATGCATTAACAGAAGTATAGTCTCCAAATCCCATGAAGTACTAGTTTCCTTCTGTCCAGCCCTGGTTAGGCCTCATCTTTTTTTTTTAAGTATTTATCTAAGGACAGGGTAGGGAATACAAAAAGTAAAGGGAAATAGGGAAGAGGGGAAAAAGGGTTAGGGGGATAGGAGAACACAGAGTATACCATCATCCAGTCAATTCATATTACAATAACAAATCGACTTTTTGCTCTTTCACAGTTTGATTAACCTCCTGCTTTCATCTTATCATTTAATTTTAGTTTAATTCTATGTTACTCCAACACTATCTGGTAACTGCAGCCATTTGTACAATACATCCCATCGTTCAGTTTCCTTTTGAATTGAACTGTCTTTCAGCCTATCTGACAGAATATCCATTTTTGTCACTTCCCATATTTTCACAATAAGATTCTCTTGTTTCAGTATCTCCGCTTTCTTGAGATTTTTAACATAATGCTTTTTAATTTTGGAAGCTGCATAGGTCACTGGATAACTCTCTATCCCATCTATGTTACCTGGTGTCGTGCCCAATAAAGATAGTTCTAAAGTTTGTGCAGCTTCATTTAAGTTTTGTTTGGCATCTAATGTCCCCTCTTTCGCCACTTTCATCAGATCTTCTATTTTGCTGAGACCTTCATTCACTTGCTGAAACCCTGTTGTTAATTGTCTTTTGCATAGTAATCTGCCATTCCTTTTCTATTTCTTGTACTACTGTTCCAAAACTTTGGGATTGAACAGATCAAGTCTCCATTTGTTGTGTTAAATTTTTGGAGGCCATCTCAGGCTTTCCAATGAATGGGGTTTGCATAGATAATACTATGCCCTTAACCACAATGATCGCCCCTTATATATCCTTCAACAGTTTCCACAATTTTATCAACAATCCAAACCCCTAATCATAAACCTCCCCTTAGATCTCCCTCCAATCTTTATCCAAACATTATAATATAAAAATCAACTTTTAATCCAGCAAATTCAAAATCAAATAGAACAGTGGCACAATTATTTCTTCTTCTCCCGAGTTTAGCAAGTCTCGCACACAGTCTCGCACGCAGTCCGGCAAACAAAACAACAATCACAGAGCCTCAAACTGTCCAGTAGCTGTCCTTGAAGCCCATCTTATGATCTTTCCATTAACCCCTTGATGCTCCTCAGTCCACATCAGCTCCTTCTTTCTTCTCCAGAAAACAACCAGATTCTGTTATTAACAGTTCACAGAGTCCAGGAAAAGGCAAAGAGAAACATATCCCAGCCAAACTGCATTCACAAAACTCACGTCTCTTAAATCCTGTCCGATGGTATTACCGTCTGGAATTCTTTTCCAGAAACATAAGATTTCTTTTTCTGTCTCACTCTCTCAGCTTTGAAACCAGCCTGCTATATTAAGAGTTCACTTGGGGAGGAGAGTTAGTTCACTTTGGAAGCAGACTGATAAGATAGGTTAGCCGCTGCTTTTCTTCTTTCAGCTAAATATTTTCATTCTTATTTTCAGCTTAATGGGGCTGTTTCATAAATCAAAGGCTTCAGCTTACTTAGTTGTTATATATTTTAAGCTTATATTGGTTGTTCTTCTCTCCCTCGATAAAGGGTTACTCACGGCTCCGTGCCAAATATGGCTCCCACTCCGATCCGTGCTGGGTGATTTCTTCAGAGGGAAGAAGTCTGGGTTTGCCTCCCATTCTTCTCCTTCTGCTGCTCACCATGTACTTCAGAGAGACTTCTCCTAGACTCTCCTTTGATCCCCATTTCAAAAGGGGGATCCCGGACCGGACAGTTCCAGTTTTTCCAGAGAGCGCTCTTCTCTGGAGCTACTGGCAGCACCGCAACAAAGCCCTGCCTCTGGTTAGGCCTCATCTTGAGTACTCTGTCCAGTTCTGTACATCGTACTTCAAGAAGGATGCTAACAATCTGGAACAAGTTCAAAGGAGGGCATCAAGCACAATCAGGGAACTGGAAACCAAGCCGTAAGAGAAAAGATGGAAAGAACTGGACATGTTTAACCTTGAGAAAAGAAGACTAAGAAGAGGTATGAACGTTGTTGTTGTTGTTTAGTCGTTAGTCATGTCCGACACTTCGTGACCCCATGGACCAGAGCACGCCAGGCCCTCCTGTCTTCTGAGAGATATGACAGCTCTCTTCAAATACTTGAAAGATTGTTATATGGAGGAGGGGCAGGGTATGTTCATCCCAAAGGACACCTAATAATGGGCTTAAGTTAAAAAAAGCCAGATTTCAGCAGAATATCAGGAAAAGCTTCCTAACTGTTAGAGCAGTACGACAACAGAACTGATTACCTTAGGTGGTGAGCGCTCCGGTGCTGGAGATGTTCAATGTAAAATTGGACAACCATCTGTCAAAATATGCTTCGATTTGGATTCCTGCATTGAACAAAGGGTTAGATTCAATGGCCTTATAGGGCTCTTCCAACTCCATGATTCTATGATTCTATGAATATTGCAGGTACTTTATGCAGTCTATACCTTAACCCAGTGAGTTGTTTTGAAATCTCAGTGGAGCCAAAGAAAAGCTATGAAGGTATCTAGTACCTCTTCCTTCCTTACTGCTGAAAATGTAAATTAGTGCAAGTCTCTGGCAAGAAAACACTGCCATCTTGGGATATGTGGTCTTATATAGCTGTATAGAAAACCACATGGAATTGAAAATAGCTAGTTCATTTTATTTTTGGCCCAAACAAAATGCCATCTTTGTTACCAAATAGGGTGGAATAGTTCTTGAACTTTATATTCAGTGCCAGGTAATCTATTCTCCCCTTTAGAAGCAAGGTTCTATCTAAATGCCAGGCATAGCACACATTTGTTATAATTAGCCTACATTACGGTATCCTCAGGACTTTTTCAGCATGCATGTCTTTGATCTGGCTGCATTCACAATTTTAAATCACACACACAGCTGGTATATTTATGATTGCAATAACTCATTAGTGGCAATCAGTAAAGGGCCTAGAATATCAAAGGGCAGCCTGCTCCTCTGTGATGAATGATTTGCCCTTTCTGCCTTGCCACATGTCACACAGCTTCAAGCCACATTGTGCGTGGTGCACAAGAACAAAATGGTGACTTGTCAGATAAGGGTATTTATTAATAAGACTCTTTTTAAACTGTTCATTTTAATTAATTCATTTGGGGCAAAATATCTACTCATTACCATTTTTGCTGAGTGGATTCATTTTCTTAAATAATTTGAGAATACAGTATAAACAAAACTGGTTTTGACTGCAGACCATACTGGATCTAACATAGTGTTCTTTGTATCCATTTTTTTTGAGGGGGATAATTTTTACCCTTACTAGAAAACCTACTCAGTTAACATTCCAAAAACTTTCATACAGTATGTGCATTCTGCTGTGATAGCTACAAAACTCTCCCAATCCAAGACCTTGTTTCCAGTAGTGATTCCAAATGAAATCTTTTTAATATCTGCTTCCACTACTGACCTCTTCCCTTTTCTTGTCTCAGTCTCCTATACCAATCTGCTCCCCTCACAACTTTCAGTTTTCTTGTTGTCTTTGTCTTCTCTTTCTTGGTCACTTTCAGCCCTTTACTCCCTTCTCTTTGTATGTCGTTCTTCTAAGTCACTGCTGTCCCTAAATAAATAAATAAATTCAGGGAAATTAAAATATGATAAAGAGCTTTATTAGGGAGTAAAGATGTTGACTGATTGCAGTCCCCCTCCCAACCACAGTAACACCGGCCTTTGAAATGGAAGGCACTGCTCCAGAGGTCCTGTGGCTTGTGACTATATCCAGAGTGCTTGCAGTCCTCTCACATATGTTTCCAGGTGCTGCTCCATGGGATTGATAGTGATTTGGGCCCTTTGATGAATATGAACCAAACCACCACCTAAACCTTTTACTTAAGAGTCCTTGTTTTTTAAGGGGGAAAGGCATAATTTGAAATTATTCTATAGGACTACAGTACATAGGTCATTTAGGCAGTGGTCCCCAAACTTGGGCCTCCATATGTTCTTGGACTACAACTCCCAGAAGCCTTCACCACCACCTCTGCTGGCCAGGATTTCTGGGAGTTGAAGTCCAAGAACATCTGGAGGCCCAAGGTTGGGTAACACAGATAGAGGACTACCATTTCATCTTGGAAGAGGAGCCTGGCCTTGCTCTGTTAACACAAATGTTTCATTGAGTTTTAGTTGTCATTGGAGCAAAGCCACAGAACTATCTTTCATCCTGCAGATCTTATTTCTAGTCATACTACCTTTGGCTGGGAGTGAGGATTTGGTTTGGTTCTTTTTCTTACCCCATTTGCATTTTTTTCATAAATCCTACTGAAATAACTGGAAATTTGAAAATACTATCATATGAGAGGAATGGGTACTGATAGAGTCAATAATCTAGGCAGAGGTTTTGACTTCTCAGATCTGCCTTGAATCCCTTTGTATTCAGCTTCATTTGTAAGACTAGATTAGGATCACTAACATTGTGTGTGTGTGGTCCTTGTCTTTAACAGTGACACAATACACAAACATAGCCCTATCCATGTTGGAAATAGCTCTGCTTCTAGCATTTGGTGGATACAGATGGTTGAGAGAATCATTCAGTATAGTATAACAAGAATTTATAATAATCGTATATTACTTTTATAAATGTTATAGAAAAAAACTAAGATTTTATACAAAATCTAATCTGGGAAAACTAAAACTGACAGATTTATCTCCCCCTACTTTTAACCTTGCCCGTCTCCTTTATAGTGATCTTCCTGCCACACTATTTTCTTTCTTCATGTGTAGCAGCCAGTGTTCCCTCCAAGGCACATGGAAACACAAGCGTGCAGCACTGCATTGGGCCCATGCAGCTGAGATGGTATTTACACCAATTTGCTTGTGGTCATGGTTGGAATCCCATGCACAGGAGCTGGAGTCTCTGTGCCATGCTCCAGAAAATTAGAGGGAACATTGGTAGTGGCCTGTCACTATATGCTGTTGCCCTTACCTTGTCACTGGTACTAGGGATGTGCAAGGTGAAATTTTTTATATTTGTTTCATTTCAGGTTGTTAGAAATAAAAGTGAGACTACATGACAACCATTTATACATGGCCCCATGATTAGGCGGGATACAGAAGGATAAAGTGACAATGGTTGGTTGGTTAGTATAGTAGATGCAAGTTGCAAATTGTTTGAGTCAATGTGGCATTTCATACTTCGTAATGACTTGACCTCTGGTTGATATTCAGATCTTTTAAGTGGGTTCCTCTCCCTTTGAAGCTTTGTTCTGTACGAAGTTATAATGGTTTGTTCATCAAGGAACACCAGGCTATAGATAACAATAGCGGATTTGACACAATGACTTTGGTATGCCCTGAGCACATCAGTCTGAATGCATCACAAACAGGGTATTAAAATGGTTGTAAATCAATACTATCTTGTGCTGCTTATTTCAGAAAATTAGTGAATAATAGGAATTGAAAAGTTTTCCCTTCTTTTTTCAATCTAAAAAGTAAGCAGCATTTGCCACTAATATGTGTTGTTCTTGCAGAGCTGGGGTTTTATTCCTTGCAAAAGAATCACTTTGAATAGGGGGGCCTACAGCTGGACAAATAATGGCTTTGTAGCTATACTGTCCTGTATAGACATTGGCTGTAGTGAAACCATATATTTTTCTAGATTATAACAGCTAGCAGATTGACTTCTCAATGTGTCTTTAAGTGTGAATGTGTTTATGTACAATAAATTAACAAAAGAAAAATTATGGTGGTAGTTATAGGTCACAGCACTTCTCCAGAATCAAAATCTTAATCTTCTTCTTCTTCTTCAGCAGCAGCAGCAAAATTAATAAAACTATCCAGTTCTCCATCTCAGGACATTTATTTTGTTACAGGCATTGAACTGATCTGTGAAAAGGACATTGATCTAGCAACACAAGTGCAAGAACTGTTGGAATTTCTTCATGAGAAGCAACATGAGCTGGAGCTCAATGCCGATCAGACACACAAACGTCTAGAGCAGTGCCTTCAGCTCCGGCACCTGCAGGCAGAGGTCAAGCAGGTCGGTAGTTTCACCGTTAATGTTGGGATGCTTTTGTATTTGTTTAAAGCATTTCAAGAAGCTGTTGAAGCCCTTATTGGTGCTTTTCAATATCTGGCAGATTCTAAGTCTGAATCCACTTTTATAACCTGGCTTGATATTGCCACAAGTTGCAGACTACATGAAAGAACAAAGGCTTCCCACTGTGTAAAAGGCTTTTTATATATATTAATGTGACTTTTGCTCACATTCTAAGTGCAATTGGCTTGGAGATTCTAAAGCGGAGTGTATTTGCACTTTATTCATGCTATAGAAAACTATGGATTTGTGTGGACAATATGAAACATTTCATGAATCACAGTTTCATGTGTTTGGGATGCAAAGTTATCAATAGTTCCTGTTTCCTTTGATTGAATTACATTACATTAAAATATACATTAAGTGGAACAATTTCTTTATCTTTTTTGAGTTTTTAAAAAAGTAAATCAGGAGCAGATTTAGATACTAGGGAACAATACTTGCTTGTTTCTATAATCCAGCACCAACCTTCCATTTATTTATAAACATGTCCCTCTGAATCTTCTTTTTCTAGCAGTGCATCAGTATAAATACTGTTGCATAATGGGATATGGTATTACGATGCAATCCTGTTTCACAAATTACACAACATAACTTGTATGATGTTGTCAGCTGTGCCCATGAGGGGGCCATTTGGGGGGACATTGAATGCTTCCTCTTTTCTCCCTCAAGGTTCAGAGGATCCCCCTTTTACCTGGGGAAGCCTTTGAGACCTGTTGGACAGGGAAAGGAACTCTTTAATGCCTGAATATTGCCACTGCTGGGACCAGTAATTACGTCTCAATTAGCAAGTGATGGGGACAGTGAACAGGAGATGTTAATCAGATGCTCTGATTGTTAGCTTCCCAGAAGCATCTGACACAGGCATTTAATTGGAAATCAGATTCTTCAACTACCAAAACAGTTCTTGTGATCACCTCAAACTGGAATTGTGCTTCTGAGAACCAAGATGAAACAATCCTGTTAATTTGTCTGTGATTCAAAAACAATCCTATTTAACATCTCAGACTGGAAAAAGCCAACAAACCTCACCAATCAAACGATTTCATTGATATGTGTTATGTGTGCAAGGTCCTAAATAACACTATGTTGTTGAAAATATTTTTTTAAGAAGAATCCCATTGGAAAGCCAAAATAGCCAGGTCTGTAGATAATCCATGGATTATCTTGTATATCACGCAAACATGGGATTTAATATCTAATACAGAAAGAAACATTCTGAGCAACTCATTTAAATTTTTGAATGAGACTTTTTTTCATGTGGAACAGAATTCATATTGGCATATGGAAGTTGAAACCCCAGAAGTGGTTTTGAATGTGGTCATCAGGTTATGGAAATTCTTCGTATAGCCATCTGTGTGTAGTAACTTCTATGCAAGCTCTCCATCTCTTGTATTCTAAACAGAGTGAGAGCTTCTCCTTATTCATACAACAGCTTATGACAAGGCTTTCTGCAATCCTGCTTCAGAAGTCTAAGGCTCCTCAATTCCTCTGCTTACATAAACCAACATCATTTAACAATGCAAGTGGCAGGTTAGCCCTTTCTTTCCAATAACGGTGATGATAAAGAGCCACTAGAATTACCTAGTGTATATGAAGTAGCATATGCTAGTGCAAATTTCTAATTTAATTATCTGGGAATGCTTAGGTTTGCTAAACCTCCAATACCTGCAATGCATCTTCCTGATCTGTTGCTGAAAATTCTAAAAAATTCTTACAGAATATTTGAAACAATGTCATTGTTTTTATATGAGGCACAAGGTCTGTTCAAAGTGCATCCTTCTGTTTCGCCTAGTAGAACATGTGTTCTTTTTCCACTGTGAGCAAAGTCACTGCGGTGAAACAAGAATTTAAAAAAAATACTATTATGGGCAAGCATGAGGGGGACCAAAGTGTAAGAGGAACACAGCTGTTTTGAAATTGCAAATATTCATGCAAATATTAATAATGCTTGCATGGTGTTCAGTGATCTGAAACATTTTCTTACTGGGAAAAATATTTGGTGAGAAGTAGACACGTGGTATAAGTAAGTAAGAAGAGATTTTGTCATTGTGTATGCACATGCAATAAGATTATTTGCGTATAAGAACGAGCCTTTTGCCTGTTAACAGAAGACCCTACACTCTAAAAAGGCTCTCTTTTGTGTGTGTTTCCATGTTCTTTCATTGACTGCCAAAATAGCTCCTCTAAATAAACACAAATGATTTGTGTTTACAAATGATGAGTGCATGAAATGTTTGGATTTCTTTCAGTTTCCCTGTCATGTAACCTTTCCTTCACTCATTGTGAATCTTTTCATCAAAATAGTGTTACAAGGGCTGCTGTCAGCAGTCAGTCTGAACAGTTTGAGTCTGTAAAATGCTCTGCGTTGGCTGAAAGCCAGCAAGGGAGTTCTCTTTGCTTTCACTTGTTTCTTATGGGCGGAATTCCAGTGTTCTGCTGAGCACCTGGTGATCTCCACCTTGTGTTGGGCTCTCTGACTGCTCCTTCTGTGCCTCAGCTTCCCATCCATTCCCATTTCCCCCTTCCCTCCTTGTTTTTTGGGGGAAATTCCCTTAATGTGGGGGGGGATGTTTTGTTTTACTTCATTTGCTTCCTTGCTTTTCTTCATTTTTGGGAGAGGGGGCTGTAGGGGAAGTGCTTTCTTTGTTTGACTGATTTTTAAAAATCATTTGGTTAATGTATTGTGTATTTATTCTGTTAAAAGTATAGATTTTGGTGAATGGTTTGAGACTGTTTTGTTTGGTTCTGAGAGGGGTGAGTGAGCCAGGGGGGATGAACTTTGTGACTATGCCAGAGTGCCACTGGGTAGCGTGGGTGGTTATTGTTGGTTTTACTGTTGCCTGCTTTTGAAGTAGATTGATTCTCTGTTGCCTTGCATCTTGCTACTTGGAGTAGTTTTCAAAGGGTTCTTTAAGGTTTTTGTAGTGCCAGAAAACATGAACAGGAAACCCAAAATGAATAAGCCAAAAGAGGCTTTCCCTTTAATGAAAAACAAAAAGATCAGTGCACAGAAAAAATGAAAATAAAAGAAGCACCTACCAAAAGAACCTGAAATAGGACAAATATGATTTTTTTGCCGTGCATATAATTATTTGTATGCAGCAAAGGTACAGGAAGCTCTATGATAGAATGATTTCGTACTGTGTTTCGGAGTCCGGTCCATGGAGAATTCAGCATGTGGTACAGCCATGTACTGTAGTTCCAAGACCATTTGTCCAGTTTACATTCAACCTTGACTCCCTGCTGCACCATTGTTCAGACACACACCTGCACCACATTTACACTCAATAAATGTTCTCAATATGACAGTGTAATCAGGTGCAATTGTGCGCATTCTATATCTAAATGTAGGATGACAATTCTGAAATTGCTGCTTTTCTTTTTTCAAAATGAGTTTTCAAGACAGAATATAATAGTGGGGACGGGGGAAACTATATATGCTGTTAGAGATGGCAGTGCTGCAGGCTTCCCTGTCCTGCTTCCTCATCTGAGTGGGTGGCCACTGGAGGAGGTGGAGGAGGGAAGCGTGACCTATGCTGAAGAGGTGGGGAAGGAAATGCACATGGCCCAAGGGGTGGTGAGTGCACAGAGGAGGGCGGAGAGGGGAGTGTACTGCAGCCACAGAACACCTGTGCAGGTGTGGCGCTGAACTGGGCTGGCCAGTAGAGATGGCCATGTCCATCTCTAATTGTTATCTTATTGCTATTTTAAAAATAGACTCTGACAGCTACTCAGTTGAGGGAGTCTGTCTGTTATACATAGTAGGTTTGGTTCCTTTCCATGATTCTGTTATATCACTAATTAGGAGTTCTGTAGAATTTTTTTTTCATTCATGCCTTAAATTTTAAATCAAATGCTACACTCTTTTTTTAGTTTTGGACAATGAAACAACCTTAGTCCTGTGATAGGTTTGTAAGCTGTAAGTCTCCAGTTTACATATCCTTCCTGCCAGTAGGAGTCTGTAGAAAATGCTTTGAACTGTCATTCAGGGTGTTGGAAGTCAATGGGAAACTGGGAAGAAACATGTGCACCCTTGAAACAAACAGTCTTATGAAAATTTGGTAGTTGGCTGTAACTCATTAACACCTTTCTGATTTGGTTTGTAGAGCTGCTTCAGAATTCAGTATGTGAATGGCTTCTGTAACATTTCCTATAAATCTCTTCTTCATTTCAAGGGAATCATGTTGTTTTAATAGATGCCGAATGAGTCCCATCATTTGCTCCCACCATTTACGCATGTGTGCCTTAACCTAATCTTAAAAGGAAACACACTGCCCATGAATTTAGGAACGAAGTTTTAAACAACTTCAAGGGAAAAGTGAACAGCTGTGGTTCATTATACTGGGGACTTTTTTTTTTGCTTCTATGCTTTTTAGCAAACACATAGTGAGAACTTATTTTATTTGTTCAGCTGAATGTACTTTAAAAGTCAATTGATGATTAACCTGTGAGTTATTGCAGCCATAGCTTTCCCTGGAAAGAGCTGGATTTAAATATATTAGTGCCCTGCCATAAAGTGTCTGGATCTGGCTTCCTGTGGGATGAGTCATAATCAAAATCACTTAGTGAAATTGGAATCTGTATTGATTTTGGCTTGTTGTTCACTTCCAGTTCAGATCCAAATGGGCTTCACTTTCACTTCAGAGCATATAAGACAATGGATGGTCTTAAACTCATTACCAAATTGCCAAAGCTATTAAGAGCAAAGGAAGAGTGAGCTGCCACGACTCAGTCCTTGGTGCTAACTCTACTTTACTTTTGCTGATGTAGAAGAAAGTTTGCAGACTTCTTGACTGGCTACATATGGTTGCATTTTAAGATAATGGCACTTGGAAATCTTGGAAATTTTTTTCTTTGCCCTTGTCTCATTTAGAAAAGGTTTCTGTTTTCAACCCTATGCTCCTAAGCTAGAATATCAAGGCACTGAGTTGAAATTTGAA